AGTGTGATGTGGCTCCCTGCAGGGCAGGTTTCCTTTCCCTTATCTTGCCTTCCATTATGTTCTTCAGCCTCCCTCTCACACTCTTTGAGTTTATTTTATCTGAAATAAATTGCAACACAGTCCTCAATGACTCCATCTCTAATCTAGCACTTATGAAGCTGAAGTTGATCTATTCTAGGCCTAGAAAGAGCAAATAACTGAGATGACTATAAGCAATTTTATGTCTCCTCCTTCCACACTCCAATGGACACAAATATGCAACTCTCAGTATTGCAGTTTTATTTTTTGTGCTTATTTTTAAAGCTTTTTTTGTTGTTGTGGTAAAATAGACATAAAATTTACCATCTAAACCCCTTTGAAATATCTAGTTCAGTGGCATTAATACATTCACATTGTTGTGCAACCATCACCACCATCCATCTCTAGAATTTCATCTTCCCAATCAGAAAATATGTCCCTATTAAGCAATAACTCCCCATTCCTCTTCCCAAGCTCCTGGCATCCATCATTCTGCTCTTTGTCTCTATAATTTGATCACTCTAAGTACTTAATATAAGTGGAATAATAAGGTATTTGTCCTTCTTTTCCTGGCTTATTTCACTTAGCATAATATCCTCAAAGTTCACCCATGAAACAGTAGAGCAGTTCTAAAAGTTTGCCATGTAGGACAAAAAAAAAAAAGCAAAGTGCCATGTAATAGATCAATCATGAATCATGCTCTCCTTGGAAAATATTTTTGTTCCATTTATTTTCACCAAAATTTTACTGGTTAGGAAAAGGGCTTCGAAAATGTTAACTATTTAGAAAATATTATTTACTTCATAATGAAGACAATAAATGAAGATAAAAAGAGCACATAATTGCTCAAAGTAACTCAACACATTGGTAACAAAGTCAGAAATAAAACCTATGTCTTCTGAGCCTAAATTCAACCCTCTTTTCTTGAAATTAAATAGCGTTTTGTGAACCTGACCAAACATATAGTCTGAACAAATCTTTCCTCCATAATTCAGTTTCTGTCTAGAAGATGGTATTTTTCATGTCATCAAAAGGGGGCTTGCTCTGTCATTTTGAAGATCTTCTAGACATTGTGCATTTTACTCATCTATCTTTCTATGTTTTATTAAATTTCACATCCTGAACTCTTTATTCATACAGACACATTCAGTGTTGAAGGTACCAAAAGAGACAAGTATTGGGCCCTTGAGAATCTTAACTTTGAAGAAAAGTTTACAGTCTTAATTCAATTTCACTGCCTATATAAGGCGATAGAGAAGTTTCATACTGCTGTGACCTTTCCAATGCTTAAAACAGGTGGAATTGTTCTTTCACCACAACTTTCAACAAAATTACTGGTACATGTTCCTATTCTCAATCTTCAAACACCCTCCATTCTATGGGTCTCCAGAGTAAGGTAAAATAATATTTAAAAAAAGTTTAGAAAGACACTCAGAAAAATAAAAAGGAACTGGGTGAATTGAAGCTCACAAGTCTACATGTCCAATGTACCCATTTATACATGGTGGATGATCTGGTCTATAGTACATGCCCTATAGTCATGCCTACCACCAACTATCTTGATATCCCTACCTCACTTAATAAGTAGTATATTTTTGTCTTTATTTGGGGGCAGGGGGAACCTAATATTTGTTGTTTCACACTTTATGAAGAGTCTTCACCCTGTCCCTGCAAGCGTCTGGGTTATTCCTTATAATGGAAATATTAGCATCATAATCTATGGTCTCTCCTAACTCACCTTGAAATAGATATGCCTGCATTGTGGACCAAAAAAGGAAGGGAAACAAACCCAGCAGATAAATGTGTTAAAGTCATTGGTTGAAGTGAAAAATGGCAATTTAGAGAAAGGAGCAAGAGAGTGAAATTGTACTGTTTTCCCTGAGCATTGGAAACATGATTAAAGGATTGAAAGCTTTTGTTTTAAAAAATAGGCAACTATTCGTTGATCATAAAAGTTTGAGAATGTGCCCTATTTTAAACTATATTTTAAAATGATTTATTCGCCTGCCATAAAATGTTTTTGACTACTTACATTTTGTCTAAACTTAACATAGCTGTGAATTCCTAAAATAGCTGTGTACAATGCAATGGATCATACATAAACTGAAAAATATGTTTCAGGTTAACAAAACATGTACATTACCTTAGAGCAGGTGCCAGTGTTTAAACTTGAAAAATTCTGCCTTAATAATTAAGAACACTGTGGTAATCGCTCCAAAAAAATCTGTTGATTAATGTTTTAATGTTTGTGTGTTAAGATATCATTGGTTAATATAGAAAAAGGAAATCTCTCTGACATAGGTCACACAACATGGCCCAATATTTTTATCTACCAATATTGCCCAGTTTAATTTCTGCACAACTGGCCAAAATTTTTGTATAGTTATTTCTTTGATCTGTAAAGAAATATGCTCAACGTAAGCAAAAACGGCTTCCAACAAAAGAGTAATAATACTTTCTGTTGTTTGATGAATCTAACAATGCTTTATATTGCTTACTATATTTCATAAAGTATTTTCAGATACATTAGGACATTTAATATTTGCAAAATTCCTTGAGGGAGAGAAAACAGAATTTTTACCACTGTTAAAGTTAAGGAAACTGAATCTTAAAATTTTAGTATCTTGCCTATGCTCAGAGTGAAGTTAAGACTCAAACTGTCATATTTCTACTCAGCTTTAAGGGTCAAGTTAATCGTTGTATTTTGTCCTTTGTGAATCATGTTTTGCTTCCTAATATTTTCAGTAAGTCCCCAAGTTTCAAAATACAGTCTCTGAATTTGAACTCAAGGCTTTTTCAGGTCTTTCCATTTTAAACTTCACCTGAGCCTACTTTCCCTGAAAGGATCTAGTTCAACAAGAACACATTTGCTGTGTTTTCCATGTATCAGAAACTGTTAGGCAGAGCGATTCATACTGTCTCTCCAATGGTGAGCAAGTCATATCAATATCACCTATGATACTGGAAAAAAACGCAATTCCTGACTTCATTCTGAACCAGGCTATAAAATTTCTCGTTTAGGGATATGGGCATGTGCGGGAAGAATTCCCAATAATCTGATCAGGAGCTGAGGTTGCCAATATTAAAATACATTTTAAAATTAAGAATTAAATTAAGAAAATAAGCTAAGATTGCAAATACTATGGAAGGACAAAGCAGATCTTGATTTGGATCACAGGATTACCAGTGGGATTTAGGAGTGAATGAGGAGGTCCTGGTTGAATAACTTCAATGACGCAGTCTTTATTTATGATGGAGGCATCATAATGCATGTAATAAGCTATGGTCCAGGTAACTTCCTCCACACAAAGGTTAAATAAATGTTGGTAGTGTATAGTAAATAAGGTAATGATCCTAAGTGTTTGGGCCACAGAAAGCATTTATATTAATTTACTAGGGCTAACAAGGAAATATCACAGACTGGGTATTTTAAACAACAAATTTATTTTCTCATGGTTCTGGAGGTTCAAAGACCAAGGTCAAGGTAACGGCAAGTTTGTTTTCTTCTCAGGCCCCTCTCCTTAGTTTGCAGATTATTGCCCTTTTGCTGTCTCTTTGCAGGGTCTTTCCTCTGTGCACACATGCCCTCGGGGTCTCTCAGTGTGTCCTAATTTCCTCTTCTGATAAGGACACAAATCAGATTGAATTAGGGCCCACCCTAATGGCCTCATTTCAACTTAACCACCACTATAAGGTCCCAGTCTCCAAATACAACCACATTCTAAGATACAGGACATTAGAGAATCAACACATGCATTTTAGGGGACACAATTCAGCCCCAAATAGCATTTTATAAATATCAATTGTTTGATGTTTTGCCCTATTCCCTACTTCCTCTCTTACTTGACTCACGGGTCCCAAACAACCCCTGTAGCTGCTTAGTTCCATTTGCTGCCCAGAAGTTAGTTTCTTTAGCAAGTTTGGTTACATGAGAACTTGTTCATGAGGATTAGTGTGTGTGTTGGAGCTTCTAGGTAAACATTTGCATAAACATGAAGGCAGGGGCTTCAGTGTCTTTATAGGAGAGTGAGAGTGAGTAGGGTGAAAATTTCTGGTGTGTAGTCCAACTAAAAATAGAAATCTTTTCAGAGTTAGATGTTTGATGCTCTTCAAAATTATCACATGGACCACTTCCTGTGTGCTCATCCTAAACTTAGGTTTGGACCTAGATAACCTGTGGTATTTGATGAAAATTTGTTGTTGTTGTTTTTTTTTTGTGTGTGTGTGTGTGTGTGTGTTTACTTTTTGATATTTTGGAAAATAAAATAATAAATATTGTTGGAATATGAAAATTTAAACTTTTATCACCTTTTTCCTTTGGAGAGAAGATTCATGCTTTATAATTCAACAGTCCTTGTTTACTTTTAACTTTCACATTTTTCAAACTTATGTGTCTGTGCTTTTTTTTGTTGCTGTCAATGACAAAGAGTTTTACCTCACTGTTTGCTTAAATTCTCCTCAGTGAGAATTCAACCACCACCACCACAACAACCACCCCCCAAAAAAAGGAAATATAAATGTAGTGTTTCTTTTTGAGTCTGATATTGTGTGGGGTTGTACATTTCTTGTTAAATTATTATTGATTCTATAACTGATTCTGCTCTCTGTCAGAACCATTAGCCCTCATAGACCATTTTTGAGGCATTTCAGAAACACTATCTGGAAGATATCTAATAAAGATGAGCTTGCATGTAAACTTGATGATCACTATACATCTATTTTGTCATTTTTCCCTTTTGAAAAATGAGTTAAATTAATCTTTCATGCAGTTTTAAATCTTATTTTGTATTTTCACAGAAATTTTCATTTAAAATTTTACAATTGAAAATGGAATTTAAAACTTCAAGTTTATCATCAAGAATTAATAGATTAATAGCCATCATACCTCTTTTCCATAATTTTTGTTAGCTAATAAGGGTGACCGTTAAAATTCCTAACAGATTGGCAATTGCTCTTGTTTTGGCCCAATGTTGGTCTTGCAGGGATGAAGAACCGGGAAGCCAGCTGGTTACAGATAAGTTCCACATTGACTGGGACTCAGTGCTTGTCGACACAGATAGCATCATCATTGCGCGATTCGATGGCAGAGGAAGTGGATTCCAGGGCCTGAAAATTTTGCAGGAGATTCATCGAAGGTTAGGTTCAGTGGAAGCAAAGGACCAAATAACAGCTGTGAAGTAAGTGGCTGCACATATTCCTATTGTTTTCTCTGTAAAGATCAGTGCTAGGTAAATGATATATATTGCGATGGGTGCTGACTCAGATATTTGTATTTTAGTTATTAGACAATTTTCTAAGTTAAGCACATAGACTATTGCATTTTTTCAAGTACCTTTCTTTCTTAGCACCATAATAAAAGAATGATCCTATTTCCTCTGTGGAATTAGAATTCACTTTGGATTTATGAAAATGAAAGATCTTAATTATGCTGCTATTTTTTTAAATCATAATTCACAATGTCTATTATTGCTTTAGTTAATTAACAATTCCTGAGCTTTCACAGTTACAATTACCACACTGACATGAAAGAATGACCTGAGAAATCTAGTAGGTTCTTTAAACTGTACATAGAAACAGGCAAGAATATTTTTAAAATGTAGATGTCATTTCAGTGTGTCTGTAATGGGGCACAAGGATCTTAAATGGGACCCAAGGGTCTTAAATGGGACCCAATAGTCTGCATTTGTTAGCAGGCTACCAGGTGCTACCCAAATTATTGGACCATCACTTTGACTGGCAAGATTTTGAAATACCTGGCTTTTATACATCAATAGAGCTGCAGCCACAAAAGTATTTCTAGTTTGACTTGTGTTGTGTGTGTGCCAAGAATGAATTTCCATGTGCATTTAACTCAAGAAGATATAACAATTTTTTTTTCTTTTTCACTGCAGATCTTTACTGCAACTACCATACATTGACTCCAATAGATTAAGCATTTTTGGAAAGGTAAATAGTAGAAAAATTGTGTGTGTTTGTGTATGTATAATTACTTTCCTCAATTTACTCTAAATTATGTATATCATTCTTTAGAATATAATATTATAACTACTAAATATATGCATTCAATAATGTATTAGTTAACCAACTATTTATTAGTATCTAGTGCCTGGTGTTAAAATAACAACAGGATATAAAAGAGCTCTGTTTTTATGAAGCTTACCTTCTAGAGGAGAAAAAGATAGTAAACAAATAAATAAAAAATATTTTCATATGACAATAAATCTTATAAAAAATCAATGGATAAAAGTTAACTGCAGGAAAGACCAATGTTATTAGATTGAGTGGTCAGCTAAGAGCCCTCTGATTAAGTGGTATTTAGGCTGGGACATAAATAATCAAAGGGAGGCAGTCATAGAAATCGCTTAAGGCACAGCAGGGACAGCAAGCTTTGGGAAGACGAACATGTCTTAGAATCTGAAAGATGACCAAATGCATAGTTATGTCTCCTATATTTTCTGCACAATACTTACTTCTTATAGCAATAATTTTTATTTCAGATTCAACATCATTTTTAGAGTAATAAAATCTGCCTTGTGTAGGTGTTTATATACCTATCTCATGTCGGTATATAAATATGTCTCTGGGCCAGATGCTATAAGGATACAGAGATGAAAGAAAGAAATCTTGCGCTATTCTAGACAAAGCAAATTATTGGTGCTCATGAATTTAAACATTGAGTATTTTAAGCTATTCCTAAGTGAACCCAGAGACACATGCCATAAAATATTTGGTAATTTTCCGTCGGCATACATGTCCTCCCCCACTTCAGATACCTGCAGTGCACCATGTCTTTATTGTATTTAACTCTGGTTGTCAGTAATATTCAAGGGACCAATAAAAATATTTTGTGAACAATATCCCTATAATATAAATGCTAACAAACAAATAAATGAAATGCCCCCATTAGTGGTAAAGGTATTAGTGAAAAAAACAAAAAAGAAAGTGGTCATTTCAAAGGAATGGGAACTCTAGCTACATTAAAATGTGCATATAGTGAAATCGTGTTCCATGCTCCAACATGGATGAACCTTGAAGACATTGGACTTGGTGAAATGAGCGAGGCACAGCGGGATAAATACTATGTGATTCCCTTTATGTGAGGCATCTAGAGTGGTTACATGCATGGAGAAAAAGAGTACAGTTATGGTTGCAGGGCCTAAGGTGTGGGAAAAGGAGAGCAGTTGTTTAATGGGTATAGAATTTCAGATTCACAAGATGAAAGCATTCTGGACATCAGTTTCACAACAATATGAGTACACTTGATGCTACTGAACTGTGCATTTAAAAGTGCTTAAGATAGTAAATGTTATGCTATTTTTTACCCCCTCCCCATGGAAGTGCATCTAGTAGAGATCATTATACTCTTTAATGCTCCTGATATATGCAATAACTTACAAAGGACTCAGGGCTTCTGTATTTCAGCACTCTACTTGCTGCACACAAAAACAGGCATCAAAGACCAAATGAGTTGTAGGAGCATTCATTAGTATGGAAATTTAGAACAGATTCAGAAGGTTTAAACAGCCTCATGAAGATAGTGGGACATGGACTGATGGTAAAAATTATTCAGCAAATAGAGGGCAAGGAGTATAGTCTGATGTAGATGCCAGATTCGGGAAGGAGAACATGTTTGGGGAACCTGAAATAAATTTACTATCATTGATTATAGGCAAACATAATTACTGGGAAAGAAAGAGTATATAGCAGCACTCGGGCCAGAAATTCACCATCTTTGATCAACTTATTTCCTTTACATTCAGCAATATTTGATTGAATGTCCAATTCCTGCTTTTTCTTTTTGGTATAAATTTTTTTATGGTCTATATATCTTCATCTGTATCTATATCTATATCTGAATCTACATTGACATCTACATCTACATCCATATCTACATTTATATCTACATCAACTACTACATCATCTATATCTACATCTACATCTACATCTACATCTAAATTTACTTTGCCAGCAGAAATGAAACTTACTTAGAAGTTCTGAGGTACATTTCACTTTTGAGCTTCAGAATACCAAAATAGTGAACTGTAAGAAACTGGTCAATATTTTTTTGTTTTGTGTATAATTTGTTCTAGCTCAATCTTTAAGATTTGGAAAGCATGTAAGCTAATTAAGAAATAGAGTGATAGTCTTCCTAAGAATGTTTTTTTCTATCAAATAATGTAGATTTTAGACTAACCTTACCTATTTTTTACTTATTGTAATGTTAAACTGTAAACAGAAGGAAAACAATGATTAATAAATGCATGCATTCTAAAACTATTGCATGTATATTGGAGGGAAAGGGATGAGATAAACTTCAGCCAGCATTAAAAAAATAAACAAACAAACAAACAAACAAAACTTCTGGGCATTTATATCCAATTTTATTTTATTTTTTTAAATGTATATTTTTATTGATTTCAGAGAGGAAGGGAGAGGGAAAGAGAGATAGAAACATCAATGATGAGAGAGAATCATTGATCGGCTGCCTCCTGCATGCCCCCTACTGAAGATTGAGCCTGTAACTCGGGCATGTGCTCTTGACTGGAATCGAACCCAGGACCCTTCAGTCCATAGGCTGATGCTCTATCCACTGAACCAAACCAGCTAAGATTCCAATTTTATTTCAATATTCCACAAATACTCTACTAGTATAGGTAAGCAAGATTTTATAAAAATAAAATAAATGTGTTAAAATTTAATAAGAAATGCAAAAATGTGTGGCAAATGAAACTGACATAATAATTGTAATGAATGGAACAATCTCATCACTGAGTAACCAATAAAAAGACAGCAGAATTGAAACAAAGCAGTCTATACTGATTATTGATTTTTTTACCTAAATCAAATGAAAAACTTCCTCTAATTGACTATAGAGTCCATGTGATGGCCACCAGTTTTGATATCTTTCTGATAGATGTGAGCTGTTTTGAAATAGAAGTTATTTCTCTAAAGTAAATTAAATTAAAGCAGCATTTTTGATTAGGTTCTTAAATGGTACAGAGAGAATCATGTTCAATAGCTTTCACTCTCATTAAGTCTTAAAGAGTATTTAGCTTCACTGGTCTCAAATTTTCATATTAAAAATAGTGAAATACAACTCTTTGTGTAGCAGCAATGATATGCAACACTAGTTTCACTTGAGAATCACATAGAGACTCCACAACCCATCCCCACAGATTGAATTGTTTTCAAGAGCATTGATATATTTTTTGAAGGTCCGCTGGTATAGGGCATGTTGTCTGAAGTTAGGAAGATGTTCTGGTTTGTTCTTTATTATAATACTAGAGGCCCAGTGCACGAAATCTGTGCACTCAGAGCGGTGGTGTCCCCAGCCTGGCCTGTGCCCTCTCACAGTGCGGGAGCCCTGTGATTGATCGATTGCCCCAAGGAGGTAGGCCCTGCCCATCCATCCAGGGTTCCTCGATGGGTTGTCCCAAAAAGGTAGGCCAGAGCCAGGGGTCCCTCCTCTGTGCCGCTAAGCCGCAGGACTCCCAGCTTCACTGCACAGAGGCACTGGACCCGCCTCCATGCCGCACATGCAGTGTCAAGCCCCCACCCACCCACATGCGCCCACTGCACACGCAGCCTCCTGGTGATCGCTCGTTACGGCATGAGGGCATCGCGGCATGAGGGTGTCAGGACCACATAGGCTTTTTTTAGTATAGATTATGCTACAAGGACTTGCTATTCAAAATGTGAACCAGCAGCATAGCTATGCCCTGGAGTTTCCTGCCAAATCATAGAATCCACACCAGATCTACTGAATTCAAATATACATTTTATTAAGATTTGCAAGCACTTTGAATGAACATGTAAGTTGAGAAGCATTTTTCTAGGATCTGCTCCTTCTTTAGAAACCACCATTCTTCCATTCTTCTTAGTTCCTGAAGAAAATTAACTTCTAAGAATCATATTAAACTGAGGTAAACACACACACACACACACACATGCACACACACACACACACACAAACCAACATAAAAACATAACACCAATTTATTATTTTATATTATTTATATATGTGATATACAGTTCTGTGGACTGGAATGCTCAACTATTTTCTCAAAGTAGTAAAGTATAAATATAAACAACTAAATCATAATCAGTGGAAGTTTGTTAGGGCATTTGTGGAATTAGAACCCGAAAAGTTATCATCTAAGATGTGATCGTCTACAATGCATTTCTCAAGGTGGGGATAGCATTGCTCGGTGGGAAACACTTGAAACCTCTTGGCTGTGACACCCTTGCTCATCTCTCTGACAATCCCCTAACAATGCTTTCCTAGGGACAGAACTATTATGGGCTAAGCGGCTTTTTACTTGCTCTGCTTGACTCATCGTGCCCTCTCATACCTCTGAAAAGGAGCAGAAGATGCCACACCAGACTATGCCTCTTTAGCCAAAGGATAATTTTGAGTTGATTGTTTTTAAGAAACAGCAGATCCTTCTACTCTGAAAACAGACAGAGTAGAAGTTACTCTTTTATAGGAGACATTGACATTTATAAAGAACATCTCCATTCGTGTCTCCCTCTCTGTACCAACAAGAGAAAGATGACTCTAAACCAGTGATGGCGAATCTATGACACGCTTGTCAGAGGTGACACGCGAACTCATTTTTTGGTTGATTTTTCTTTGTTAAATGGCATTTAAATATATAAAATAAATATCAAAAATATAAGTCTTTGTTTTACTATGGTTTCAAATATCAAAAAAATTCTATATGTGACACGGCACCAGAGTTAAGTTAGGGTTTTTCAAAATGCTGACACACCGAGCTCAAAAGGTTCGCCATCATTGCTCTAAACCATAAGAAATTCTTAGCAATGGAGAAGGCACTGACTTAAATTTACATAACAAGCCCTATCCTAGTTTAGGGTTCTTTTCTGGGTTACTTCTTAGAACTAACCTCTCCCAATATCTTATTTCATTGAAGATGGTATTTAAA